GCTGAGGAATTCTGGGAGTTAAAGTCCACAAGTCTTAAAGTTGCCAAGTTTGAGGACTCCTGATACATACTGTATATTGGGTTTTTTTAAAGCCATATTTTCCAGGAATTCCCCTACGCATAAAGTCAATATCCCTGGGCAAGGCTGCTTCCCCCCCACCCCGGTCCGCCCCATCTGTTCCGCGTCTCACCCCTTCAAGCCTGGTCCAACTCCTGAGTCTACAACGTCTATATCACTTGCTCCGCAGCCAGCAAGAAAACCGCCGACCAAGATTCTACCGGCCTCTATATATGCCGCATCTAATTGGTCCAGATACACCATAGAACATAGAGTGCCAAGATTAGAGTCGCGCAGACAGTTGATTTCCGAGTTTCTCTTCGCAAAAATAGCAGGCTAACTTTGAATCAGATTTTTGAGAGCCCCGCGCGGCACTACAGCATTCTAGGTCGTTTTCTTTAATTCTCCATTTATTTTCCAGAAGGGCGTAGATGGTGGCGGGTGGGGGGTTGGGTGAGGGGTGGAAGTGTGTCCCTCTTCATTTTGTTCTTATAGCAACCAGCCTGTGAGGTAAGCTGGGTTATGAGTCGATGAACAGCCTAAATCCATTCACTTTTAAGCTTTATGAACGTGGATACCCGAACGCGGGTCTCAAAACAGACATCCACACGGGGGTGGGAGTGGGAAGTGGAAGAGAAAAGACATGAAATTAAAATTTAATTCTAAAAAGACTTGCTGAAGCCTGATGATAGACATGCCTTGAAATCCGTTCAAGAGAATGAATAATGAAAAGATACCAAGAAGTTTCCCCTCTTAATGCTCTCTTCAAATGCATAGCTCTATATTTTTATGTAAATGAAAACGTTTATTCTCTCTCTCTCTCTCTCTCTCTCTCTCTCTCTCTCTCTCTCTCCATAGCTGCAGCAATTTCTATGAAAGTAAATAAGGACATTATAAATAAGTGACATTATTATGACAGTGTGCTCAATGATTGACAGAAAAAGTATGGGCGATAACAGAGCATGCGCAATACAGATTCCGTTGCCCTAGTGGCGGAATCGTGCTAGGCCGGCAAATAACAAGCCGAGATTGTGCGCATGCGTAATAGGCCGAGAAAGAGCGGGGAGAAATACAGAACGGAGACTGTACACGCTGTATACGCATGCGCTGTTGAACAAGTGACTACGTAGTTGTGGAAAGGAAAAGCGTAAGTCGTATGGCGGGGCGATTAAACTGCTATGTAAGTCTGGCTTTGCTTTGTGGGTGATAGGAAGCGGGCATCGTTAGGGATAAAGGAGCTACTGTAGGTCTTTCGTCCTCGGTGATTTGGTGATTTTGGATATTCTGTGCGTTAGTATCAGTTTGGATTCCTTTTTCCTATTTGTATTTCTGAAAAGCAACCTGCATGTTCTCAGAAGCCTTTGGTTCTTTGATCTATCTTATTGAGGCAGTTTCATATTTCATAACATTAAAATAATGAATGAGGACATCAACTTTTTTTTTTTTATTGAACAGAGTCTTACAAAAAGCAGGTAGTGGGCATTGGAAAATGTTGCTCTGGTGGCATAATCATGATTGCTCGTACCCAGAGGCGTATTATTGTTAAAAAACAGCATTGTTAAGAAAGCATATTGGACCGAGCTTTTTTCAAATAAATGCCAGGTTAATGGTGCCGCTATAAGACATTTTGTTTATTTGTTTGTTTGCTTGTTTGTCAAACATGTACAAGATAACAAGTATAGATATGAACATAAACATGAACAAAGGAAGTAAATACAGATAAATGGGGACAGTAAGATGGGGACAGTAGGCACACTGGTGCGCTTATGCATGCCCCCTTCAAGGATCTCTTAGGAATGGGGTGAGATCCATGGTAGATAGTTTGAGGTTGAAGCTGTGAGGGGTTGAAACTGTAACAACGGAGTTGGGTAGGGCAGGTAAGCGTTCCAGGTGTTGCTGAAGTCGTATTTTCTGCAATCGAGTTTTATTGTAATGCACATTTTATTGCAGCATTTTCACCTCAATCTTGCAGGATGCACATGTCAAGAGTGGTTAACAGTGATGACTGTAATGAAATTGGCAATAAGCATATTGAATGCAGAAATCAAACCATACGATGAAAAAAATAACCCACATCAACCTAGCTCTTGACATTATTTCCTTGGACTCATTCCTATAGCATCTGAGAAAAAGTCCTTTCTTCCTCAACACTTACCTCAGAAAATATAACCTAGTCACTAGAGGAGGAGTAAGGGGAGTGATATTTTGTAATTCCTCAGCTTTTTACTTTAATGTCTAGATGTAATATAGCTAGATGACTATATCAAATTCCTGGGAGTCTACCTCAGCGAAGATCTTACCTGGAAAATCAACACAACCCAGGTGGCCAGAAAGGCCCAACAGAGACTCCATTTCCTTAGGGTCTTGCGAAAGAATAAAGTGGAACAACGACTGATGACCTCCTTTTACCGGTCCACAATAGAAAGCGTCCTCTCATATTGCATTACGGTGTGATATGCTGGCTTGACAAGCGCGGATAGAAAGACATTACAGAGGATGGTGAGCACAGCACAAAACATCGTGAGCTGTTCCCTGATACCACTATATGACCTCGCTAGGGCTCGCTGCCTTAGAAGAGTGAGGAAAATTCTCAGGGACGACTCACACCCCGGTCAGCACTTCTTCACTCTCCTATCATCGATAGAAACATAGCCAGCTGCACCAACAGGCTGAAGAGCATAACTTCTACCCGTGGGCTGTCAGACTTCTGAACAGAAAATAACTTCATGTCAACATAGTATGATAGACTTGTGGGGCCGGTGCGTTGTGCAACAAGGTCACATGGTGCAATAAGATTGGGACTGGGTTCGGGACTTCTGTCCTCACTGTGAGTTGAGTTGGGGGTGGGGCACGAAGGGAGGCTCAGCCAATCTCATTGTACACTTCTTGTACTCTGACAATAAAGGTAATAATAATAATGATTATATAAAGAGATTTGTCTACACTTGGTTACTCTTAGAATCAGCTTAATGAGGTGTATTTGGGTAAGAATCTGTTTCAGGAAGTGGTGAACTTTCTTCTTTTAGAGACATAGGTAGAACCTGAATGGTGCTGTGTCAGGAATGCTGCCATTCTGATTTCTGAATTAGGTTCCTGGATTGTAAGTGGTAGTTGGGTTCTTAGAGTAGCCTTCAAAGACTGAATTTGCTCCACACTACCTGATTGCTATTTTTTTTCAAATCAACAGAGCCAAAAATGAGACGATCAGCAGCTCCAAGTCAATTGTTGGGTCATTCAGCCAAAAAGCCAAGATTTATACCTCCAGGAAAAATCCTGCAGAAAACATCTGAATATGTAGATCCAGAAATTAAAACAGATGAGGTAATATTAAAAGAGAAGACCACAAAGACATTAACATTACTTATATGAACAACTAATTGAAACTTAAATTCTCCTTCATACAAAAAATGTTCATCCACACTGAACATTAGATATCAGGAGCATGCGTATCTTTTTATTATATAGTTTGTTTGGTGTGGAGGTTGTGTAAATCATCATACAGCTTACATATATTGCCTAGTCACCACAGTTAGCCATCTCTGAAATATCCCTGACCTGTCAGAAATTTGCCCTTGTATTTGGAGTTTAGGCAACAAAACTCCAATACGGTATTCAGCAAAAAAGAATTAGCTAATTACTTAGCAAAAACCAATTCAGTTCATATACTCTTTCAAAGGGCAGATGTACAAATTACCCAATCCTATGGTACTTCCTCAATCATGAATTCATTTGCATTCTTACCCATTCCTCAGACATTCTGTTTCTCTATTTAACCAGGATGCATTGTGGAAGAGTATAAAAATGGGTCCTAGCTTCATCCCCTTCGATATGACTTGCTGTCCAGAATTTGGAGGCATAACTTCTATTTTTTTTTTTTTTTGCTGTGCAGACTTCTCACCTAATGATTCTTTTAGGGAGATAAATAAAATGGGAAATGTACAAAAAAGAGAAGTACTTAGGAAGTAATAAATCATAAACTAATGATTTTGTCCAGATTTCCCAGATATAAATTGATCAGCCATTGAAATTAGACACCTGAATAGAACTCTAGATCTTGTTTCTTGTGTTGCACTCCATATTGCTGCCTAAAACTTGCATGTATTAGTTCATGTGTCACAGGGAACTGTCTTCAGCTCAAGAGAGTCTCTTCTTTTTTGTTTATTGAACTAATTCTTTATATCACAACTGAGCCATCTGAGGAACTGCAAATAAGATCTGTTAATTTGGATTTGCTGTTCATCTGATCAGTGTCAAGAACTGTTTCCAGAGATCTTCCTATATTTATATTTATTTAGATTGGTGTATCTTCATATGGCGTTCTCTTCCCTTTGAGGATGTACTCTTAAAGGACATGGCTTTGATATTTCAGTCTTCAGGCAGGAAAGACACATTTATTTTAAAGTTGTTGCATGAATATTCCATAATAGATATATATTCTGTCTTGTAGGTGTGCGAGAGACAGTTATGTAGCTCAACTTCTGTAAACATTTGTTCTACAACTTCTGGCTTTCATTCTTCTGTAACTGTAAAATCTAAGGAAGAAGAATTGCCCTGTGAAAACAAGAATATGGTGATTGGGCATTTGAAAACTGGAAGGAAATCACTGTGCAAAACAACAGTAGGTAGGAATATGCATGCTTTAATGTAAAGCAGAATAGTTTTTGAAATATTTTCTGAAGGAAAGCTGTAGAAACTGAGTAACTTTGGCTTCAGGACAGCTCTTCAGGATAAGGTAAGTTTACTTGTGTTATACTTATATACAAACAAATAGTTGCTGTCTCTAAAATATCAGCAGGACTGAGGGATAAAATTACATATGCAGTATATGGGGTTGTATATATCAATATTTTCTTACTGCAAGTACCAGATGCATCCAGATTTACTGAGGAAACAAGAATGGTTGCTACTGAAACAGAACATGGGTTACTAGAGATATCAATAATTTAGGAGATGATAAGAATTGTTAGAGTATTGTTATAGTGATAAATGCAATCTTTGTATTAAAAACATCAGCAAAATGTCCTGGCCTCAAGCGCCATTATGAGATGGCCAGAATGCTTCTCCTTTGCAAAGCCATCCATTTTTTTTTCATTTTATGTGCAAGATCTTGGTCATTTAGGGAAAGGAAAAATCAAGTGCTTTTGTGGATCTGGCCTATTGAAAAGATAAGAAAACAAGTATAGAGCAGGGGTTTCCCAACCCCTGGTCTGTGGACTGGCATCGGTCTGCAGCATGTCAGCAACCAGTCTGCACAAACAAGTGAAGCCTCATCCATGGGATGCAAGCAGCATGCAAAACCACGCCCCCTCCGGTCTGTGGAAAAACCTCTCCATGGAACTGATGCCCAAAAGGTTGGGGGCCGCTAGTATAGAGGACATGTTTGCCTTATTGTCAAAGGAAAAAATAGAGTCTACAATATAGATGAGGAAGGGCAGGAAAAAGAATATGTATCAATATATATAATGGGTCAAAAACAGTGCTGTAATAGAGAATGCTCAATTCATATTATAACCAAGTGATAGTATTTCCCATTGCAAAAGAAGATTTGATGCTGAATAATTACTTACATCAGTGACTTGGATTCTGTTGCAGCCTCCATTTGATTGTTGGCCTATCATGATGCATACGGAAGGAGAACAAGGAATTTTCTAAGGTTCTTGTTCAGCTAAGACTGGGCAACCTAGCAACATCCTGGAAAACTAACTATAAACCTGAAAGCTAGCTATAAAGCTGGAACAACCTACAGCTAGTTATATGTCAAGATTCATTCACTTTTAAAATACTTTTCAAGTGCCCCAAGTGGATGTTTCTTCCTTAGTATTAATTTTGTTTCGTAGAATTCTTCCAGGAATGTCTTTTTATCATTAGACTGCAGCTCAGATTTCCCCTGTGATGGATTTATTTATTAGAAATATAAAATAAGAGCTACTTTTCAAACTCAGGCATTTAGTTTGCTGAATGCTGGGAGCCTTCAGTCACTTAAGCCAGCTCAGATATTCAGGATCTGAACGACTTGACAATTGAATGTTCTGGATAACACTCTCCATCCCTTTTCAGTAAGCATTACTTTCATGTTATCTAAATAAAAGCCTAAAGACATACAGTATGCAAATATACTTTATGTCTGCCGATGATTACACTGAATTTGTGATTGCCTGCAGGTAGTTGACAATGTCTGTATGGTGTTGGTGAGCCTTAATTGAAGCATTTGTGGTGAATATTCTTAGTTTAATAACCCCTAATTGTGTTCTACACTGAAGGGATTTCAGTTGATTAAAAACAATCAGATTTACTTAGGAATGGATGTGCTTTGTGTTGTCTGGATTGTAAAACATTTCATACATCCCAGTTCTTCATACTATTAAAGAATTCTTCAAGCATTTAATGTACAGGGTTTTGTGTATGCATTAGAGGCTGCACTGCTAGGGTAAATGTTAAATTTGGGGAACTCTACATTGTACTTTTTTATAGACAAGAAGCAAAACTTCTAAGACCTTTATTTTGGAGGAGGAAAAGAGACACTGATTGAAAAAAATAAGATTATTTTCCTCCAATATCTATGATACAGAGGAAATATTTTCTACTTTGTATTATTTCATGATAGCATGGGTGCTTTTTCCTAAATATAAAATGGATTCTTCCTGACTTGCTGATTGCACTGTCCATTCAGAATTGTTCTATCTTCTGTGTTTGCTGTAAGAATTGCTTTTGAGAAGTTATCCTTTAAAGGAGACATTTGATTGGTGAGATAATTTTTGCTGATTTCCTTTGTTTTAATATTTCTGTTCATTGGAATCACCACCAATGCAGTCAGGGAGCTTGAAACAATGAGTATATATACTAGTCTAGTGAATCTGGCTGTGTTGCCACATCTCACAGGTGCTCCTGACCACGGGCATGTTTTCAACAGCTTGGTTCTTTGTTTATGAAGTGATAATCCATCAAACTTTGAGTTGTGTTCCTCTGCAGAATTTCAAATTTGCTTTTGTGATTTTGTTCTTTAAATGTCAGTATTTGTCAATCACTTTTTGGTGGCAAGTCTTACCTATGAAATCTTACATTGAATTCAACTTGTTTCATTCTGATAAACACTACTCAATCTTATCTTAGAAAGCTTAAAACAACAACAAACAACAATAATAATATAAATAGTCTGGTTGGAGCTAACAATAAGTACCATAATGTAAACTTTGTATACAGTATAAAAGGTACTTCAATAATAAAAATGGTAAGAATGGAATATCCTAACAGGCATACTTTGTTTATTGTCATTCATATGCCATTCATTCCATTTTACCTTTCTTCAAAACAGTTTAGGACTTGTATCATGATGTGATATGATATAATTTCAGTACATCAGTGACATAAGATGACAATATAAACTGGTCCAGGTTTTATTTAGTACAATTATATTCTACTTTTCCTCTAAGGAGTTCAACAATTTAAATCTCATTCCTTTGCTTCTTCTCATTTGATCATCTGACTTTGTCTTAGTCTAATAGATTAATGTCATTGGATAAGATGGACTTGAATTTTATTTTCAATGTTTCTAATTATATTTCAGAAATATGTTAATGTACAGCATGAATATATAATTTGATATAGTTCTCTAAAACGGTTGCATATTTTCCTAGACTTGTGCTGCAGTTGTGGAAGGCAGCTTCATGTTTCTAGGAGAAGATATAGCAGTTTTAAAGAGTTGCTGATAAGTGCTGTGTTATGCAACATGATAGTGGACTCTAGTAAAATGTAAATATATGTGTAATTGCTAACCATGAATAATAATAAATTAATACATAGTTTTTCTAATATTTTTAAAGAAGCACATGCTCAACAGAGCCAGAACATGAATGAGTGGGAAATGGGCTGCTCTCTTTACAGCTGCAGCTTGTCCAAAATATCTAGTTATTAAATTTTTGTGCACATTTTCAGAATTGTGTTTCGCTGTCTTTTAAGATTCTGCGTTCATTTGCTTAAATTTAAGTAAAATAATATTCATTATAAAAGAGAAATAATATAATGATAAAATGAAGGGAAGATCTTTCCATAAAGATGACTGTGGCTATTAATGTTTTTTAAAATCTCTCTATGGATTATTCACCCTTGATATAAATAAAACTACATCTAAACTTAGGGTGGGTTAGAGATTTTTAGATCTTGATTCAAGCTATAGCATTCCAAGAAATACTTTCTATTTATAGTCCTTAAATTAAAAAAAAGAAAAGAAAAAAAGCATTATCGATAATGCTTAATAGTGCAGTAAGATAATTATTCTAAAACCTATATTTGGATAATCTATCTTTCAGTGAACAGATTTCTGACTTTTCCAGGACTGTTTCTCAAATCTGTTATGGGAAAAAATGTTATTTCATGTTAATTGCCATGGGACTTGTGTTTGATCATGAAGTCTTAAAAAGAAACTCTGAGAAGAGGCAGGCAATTTAATTGTATTCCATTATACACAGGAAGATTTTATGTTCCACCTCAATTAAGCTATAACATATTTGGTTTTCACACAATATTGTAAGTTGTATGGATATAATCATTTGACCAGGAACTTGAAAATAAAAATAAAATAATATAAATATTTGAATATTGTAATATTATAATCAATATTATAATATAAAATATTGATTACTTTAACTGAATCAAGCCAGCCATGACTTCGTTAACTATGATTAAACAAACCATGACTTACGTTGTGTGAGACCCAGTGAATGTTTCTCTTATAGTTATGACTCTTGTCTGTTTGTTACAACAGCCAATTAGGTAGAGTAAGCCAGGCGGTAATGACTTTAATGACCTGGAGTGGGTGCCTGTTTTTAAGGCCATCAGAGTGTCTTGTTCTTGTCTTTATATAACTTCCCTAAAAAGCAGGGAATATTTTGTGATTTGAAGATAAAAGTAAAGATGGACCTGAGGCTTAATTTGATTCCTACATCCCTGAAGGGATACAAAAATAGTTTGAAGTGAGGTGTAAGCATAATGCTCCTCAGGACTGTGCTCCATACATAAGGTAGAACTGTGATCAGTGATGGTTATGTGATAATAAATTGATGAATTCTTAACACTGCTCTTGTTACATGACAAGCTGGTAAGTTGACAGAATGATTGAATTTCTTATCACGAGAGAATTATGGCAGGGTTTCCCAAGCTAGCATCCCTCATGTCTGCGCAGCAACTTGCATCAATCTTAGCTCCTTCCTGCTTGGATACGATGGCTCTTTTTTAGCCTAGCTCATTTGAAGGTCATTAGAAGGGCAACCAGAATCGCGACTGAAGATTGTCCTTAAGATGCACCTCTGGAGATGTGTGTTCCCTGCCATGTGATGGATGACTGTAACGAGTTGCACACTTACAACTGCAGCTGTAAGGAGGGGACCCCATTTCCGCTCTTCCTCTCCCTGCTCTGTTAAGCATCTGCCTCTTTAAAAAGTGTGTGCGCGCATAAAGCCAAAGCCACACTGCAAAGTGCTGGGGAAGCTTAGCTTTGCTGCGAAGCCCGACCCTGAGTGAAACCTAACTAGCTAGGCAATCTGCAATTCTTGATTGACAGCAGGACTAGCATTATGCAAATGGAGCCTGAGGGAAGAGCCGCTGGGGAACAGAACCGTGATCTGGGGGCTCTGTTTGGGATCTCCACACACGCCTCCTCCTCTAAATCCAGTCGTCTTGCTTGCTGTTGTTTTCCCTCTTTCTCCTTTTTTGCAGAGGTGGTACAGCTTAATAACCAATAAATGCCTCCCCTTCCTCATAAAAAAGTTGTTCTTTTATTGAGCATGAATAAATCCAGTCTTCTGTGCAGTTCTTTTTTCTTTTTTTTTCCTATCAGCAAAAGAGATGTATGTGTGTGTAAGCTCTAAACTCAGGATGAATTGGATAATATTTGGCAGGGTAACGTGCTAATCTTTAAACCTTTATGTTTTCAATCCTGTTTAAATGTAGGGGTTTGTTTTGGCACAAAAGTCTCTGTGCGTGTGCGCTACCCTCCCCTTCTCTTCTCCTTCAGTCTGAAGCCTTATGTAGGTCAGGCTTGGCTTAACCAGATTTCAGGAACCTGCGTCAGCTTAAGCTGAAGGAATTTTAATAAACCCTCCCCTGTAGGCGTGGGCCTAAATGAGACAAGCCTAGTTAAGCCTGATCTTTCTTCTGTTTGTGAAAAAGAGCTGAGAAGAGCTAGGATCTGTGTGGTGGTTTCAGGAACTGCTTATTCTTCAGGCTGGAGAGGACGATGGTTGGGAAGGCCAGATCCTCGAATTTCACTTTGTCTGAAAAGCTTGATTTGCTGAAACTTGTCAAGCCATACGTTAATATTCTCGAGGAACACACCAACAAACATTCAGTCATAGTGGAAAAAAACAAATGCTGGGACATCATAGCTGATAACTACAATGCCATTGGAGTTGACCGCCCTCCTCGCACTGCCCAAGGCCTGCGCACACTATACAAAAGGCTCAAGGAATATGCCAAGCAAGAACTTTTACAGCAAAAGGAGACCCTCTGTGACTACAAAGGCTACATCTCTGAACCGACTAAGAAAGTTGTGGAAATGATCCCTCAGATTTCCACTGTGTGTTTGAGAGAAAGGAATAATCTGCCATGGTAAGTTTCCTTTTATGCTGGGCTTGGTTTGCCAACTTGAGCATCTTCCAGCCCTTGTTTGAGCTAAACGATTTAGCTTAGAAAAACTAAGAATGCTGCAATCCAAGTCGGCTTTTCAAAGCAGCCTTTCGAATTTGCAAAAACAGGGATTGATTGGGCAGTTTAGCTTGCAGCTGTATTTCAAGGATCTTATTGTCAGACCCCTGGCAAGTGAGGGTTAAGAAAAAATCCAAGTGAAATAGGAGCTCCAACTTTTACCCCTCCCCTTTTAATAGGCATAGCATTCAAACATTGACCAAGCGAAGGGCTGTTCTACATTTAAGGTAGTACGGTACTGCAAGCATCTGCCTGCACACAGAAGCTGTTGCCTGTTTTGGATAAAATCTACATAAAGTCGAGTTGGAGAACAAAGGAGCTCATTCCTGCATATGCCCAGACAAGGATTATGTTAATCTCCCTGAGCAGAATACATTTTAAACTGCACTTGGACTTTTTAGATGATTTTACCTGATATTCGACCTCTGCCTTTTAAAAATACAAAGTGGATTTCAAAACCATTTTTAGCCTTGTGTGAAGGCAGAATAAAGATAAAGTTGCAATTAAACTTAGAAAAAGAACGTGCACAGGTTTGCAAGGCTCAGGTCCAGGCACATAAGGATGCTGCAGCTGCACAAAACCTTTTATTTTTAGGGCAGATTCTTTTGTGGTTAATCAAATTGAAGTGCGTCTAGATTTGAGCCAGACACAGAACAGGCAAGCTGTGTTTGACCTTTCTTGCAGGGCTTTGATTTTACCCTTTTCTGTGTTGCAAGCTTCCCATGTCTACCCTGTACCCTTAGATAGTAAAAAAAAACATTAAGAAAAAGCAAGATTTCTTTTCTTGGCTCCTATTGCTACTCTTTAAATGTATGTCATTTATTGTGGTAAATAAATAGAATAATCTTACATGGAATGTCTAGAGAGCCTGGCAAGTATGGGCACGCTAGTCAGCCTTTGATTTTCCCTGCCTCCGTTTACCGCCCTGCCTCTGGTTACGTTAAACAGTACTGTTCTCTAAATGACTTCCACGGAAGATGCATGTCAAATAAAGATATGTCAATAACAGGTTCTTTTCATGGAAGAATTTTGTATCAGCTATGCTTACATGATATGATGTATGACATAATAACATGATTATTTTTATTTCATTTTTATCCCAGCTTTTTATATAACTTAGGATGGCTAACTTACCTAATACTCCTTCCGAAATGGTGTTTTGCAGTCCAGCACTTATAAACAAAAAGTGCATTAAATTCAACAGGGACAGTAGTCTTAAAAAAAAAAAAGCAGCAGTATCCCTGAGATATGAAACATTCATAATGATTATTCAGGCTAATATGTTTAAAATTGATTGGGCCAAACATCACTTTGATTGAAATATGTTACTTATTGAACCAGTAGAGTAAATAGGATCTTGGTAACAGATTTGAGCTTGAGTATTAATGGCTAGAGTACCATTGTTGTATAGTAATCTTGCTTAGAAGCTGTGTAGCATCTAACCTTTTCCAAACCCGCCCCCCACCCGATCAATTGCTTAAACATTATTTTGAAATGCAGTATAGATGATTATTGCAGCAGTCTAGTGTTACAGAAAAATTTATCTGGAATATTAACCATTAGAAATGAGTATCGTCCTAAATATGTTTTGTGGGGATAAATTTCAATAAAATAAATTTGTCTATTATCCCTCCATGTAGATCTTTAAAATAAGGGGGAAATGCAAACGATTTTTGTTTAAGAGAGAATTAAAGAGATAGCTAGCCACAAAGCCTTTGCCTTCTTAGCCAGTTTGGTTTATCTCTTTACAGCCATAATTTGTGCATTGCCAGATACCATACTTATTTACAAAAAATCAGGAAATGAGCTTGCCATGCAAGTAAAAAAGGGGACATATCCTTTTCCCAGTTGAAAATTGTATGGAAGTTGCACTTTTTAAAATCCAAGATATTTTACTTTGCTTGGCCATGTTTACTGATGAATATTAGTGGTTCAATTGGATATTAGCTATTTTCATCCTTAATTAGATGTAACTCCAGTTTTTCTCCGTGGGTTGTCCACTACACAAGGTCATATGACTAATGCTCCATTGCTCACAGTTGCTGATTTGCTGTGATCTGAAACCTCAGCTTGGATCTTTTCATTTTGAATGTCCTGACGTGCACTTATACATGCAAATTCTGATAAAATTATTGCAGCTTGCTTCCAAGAAAATGATGTTGATCAATATTCCTTACTTTAATGTTAGGAAGCTTAGAGTAATCTTTCTGCAGAGGAATTGAGTACACTTGCAATATATGATCTAGCTGAAGGAACAACTATGATTTGCCATTCAATAATAATGGAAGATTGTTGAATAATCAATTATTCAATAATTTATTTTGAAACAAATATTTCAAAGGAAGGAGTTTGAATGAAACAGCAATGACAGAAAATGAAAATATCATAGATTAAATTACGTTATACCAAAATTGCTTTTATTTCAAATAAATGGTGCATGACCATGGTATGGCTTAAGGGCTCCATGTATAACTCTTCCAAAATTTACCAGTGACCAAAAGTATTTTTAAAAGCATTTTATTTATTTTTTCTTCCTAGTGTTTTTCATTTAAAATAGATATGTTAATTCCCTGGAAAACTTTATATTCTTATTTTGTCTTTAATGAAGAATAATCCCCTGAAACATGGGAAGGAAAGGGACTGGAAATATAATGCCACCCATCCCAGTGTATTCAAGTTTTTCACTGCTGCTATGTTCAATGTTTCTTAAGCTACTATATGGTGAGAAGGTGGTTTTCCTGTCTTCTTTCCTTTCACTATCTTCTGGGAAGAGCAAGGTCATTCACTGACTTACTACTAGATTAGAAGATACTTGAAAGCTGCTCAGCTTTCTAAATGCTCTTCTCAGTCCAGCTCCAGGTGAGCAGCAGTCCCTGACATTCCCTGAAGTCCTCTGCAGAGGTCACAGCTTTGAGAGAAGGGAAGATTGAAACAAGTCCAAATAACAGTAACCCATGTGGACTTGCTCTGGTTAATGATATTCAAGATCCTTCTGACTAGTAAGCAATTTTGGAGGATATGTGCTTTGCAGATATGGAAATAAATACTTTTAAGACAGAAGGAACTGACCTGTGGCCCTCCAGAACTTGATGAACTACAACTTGCAGCATCCTTCACTGTGGGCCATACTACCTCTGCCTGCTGGGAGCTGTAATTCTGCAGCTTCCGAAAAGCCATAGACTTCTTGCCCATGTTTTCAGCAAAAAGAATACTCAGGGAAGAAAGCCATCTTTAGAAGAGAATTATACAAACAAGAAGTATTCATGATTTAATTGCTCCATGTTATTACCTACTCTCTTTTTCTATTGTCTCTCCTGGCAGCATATACAGTATGCACATAAACAGTTGTGATGATTCTCCTTTTATCAAAGTACAATAGCTCAGAGGTTGATTAAAAACATTCAGCTCCCTTGATTTGACCTTGATTCTTGGTGATTATATAGACACCTTTATGTAGTTTTCTTAGTAAAAAAAAAAAAAAGTAAGTTACAGTAGTATTTGCCATTGCCTTCTCGTGAAAAGTTTTTCAGTCTAGCCTATAGTCTTGGAATTTCCAAGTAGTCTTTCACTCAATTACTAACCATGTTTGCCTATTTAGCTTTTATGGACCCAGTAATGTCAATTAATGCTGTTTTGTGTCCACAATCTTTTGTGGCTAGAGAAGATTCTAATGTCTAAAATATTATTCTGTTTTAGTGCTACCCTGGTAAAAGAAATAGTTGCTACTACAAGTTCTCCTCAGCTAATGTCGGAGCCCCATCCTGCTGCCATCACACTGGAACTGGATCCAGAAGAAGAGGATGTGAAGCCACCACCTTCACTAATACTTGAATTGCAAACACAGGATAACTTGGAACAAAGAGATCAGCAACATATGGTCCATGTCATGGAAAGATCTCCATCAACTTCTCTGTCTTCTGTGGATATAAGAATGCTATCTCCGTCGCCTATCCCCAGGCGAGATGAGTTTTTTAGGCTCGAAAGCGGAGAACGGTTTAGGCCAGCATGTGGAGGGTATGATCCACAAATGTTGCAAATGCTAAAAGAAGAACATCACATAATTTTGGAAAATCAAAGGAAAATTGGCCTCTATATCCAAGAAAAAAGGGATGGGTTGAAAAGGAGACAGCAGCTGGAAGAAGAGCTTTTGAGAGCAAAAATTAAAGTAGAAAAACTAAAGGCAATACGATTACGTCGTGATCTTCCTGAATTCAACAGTCTTTGAATATAAAGCAATTCTTCTGCATAAAACCGTGCTTATTCTGTGTTTGATTAGAAAAGATCAGTTACTTTATTTGGATGGATTGGAAGTGGGAGGACAAAAGAATTGATGGTTTTGTTTTTTTAATTTCATTTATGTTTGCAAGAAATCAAAAGACATTTTCCACTGGTTTTCCCAAATTTCAAGTCTCAAGGAAAACCTCATCTAAGACTTAAAAAAAATAATCCTTTTTGATTAATACTGTTAGTAAAAGCCAATGTTGATTTATGAAGCTATTGTAAAAAATTATGTTTAATTTTTTATTTCATTTTTTCCTGGGAACAATTTTTAAATATCCGTTTAAAATATTTATTTGTGGGTAAATAAATATATGCAAAGTGGAGAAAAAGACTGCTCATTTTTCCTTCTTTTATAAGACAATGGTAACTAGTATTTTAGTATGGCTTTATGCTATCAAGAAAAGAATGGATAGGAACATTTACAGTAGTGTGCATTTTCATATTGAACTGAACTGTTGAAATACAATTCTACAATATTTTAGAGTATATTTTATATATTCTACAATATTTTAGAGTATTCTGAAGTCAGTAAACAGTTCAGAATAAAAACAATACCTTTGACACTTTCTTCTTGTTTTTATCAAACATTCTGCAGTCTAGTTAAGAATCATGGGAGTCCAGAGGGGCAAGTTAAAGAATGTTATATTAATCTTTTTATATCTAGACAGCACTCAGTATTTTCAGGGTTGATTTATATCTTATCTTTATCTATCTATCTATCTATCTATCTATCTATCTATCTATCTATCTATCTATCTATCTATCTATCTATCTAT